GCCTCGTTTGTGTAGACTGATTGGAAAAACCATGAAAAATACGCAGCTTTATCCCTACTATCAGCGATCTCATCGCCATCAGTAGTCTTTATCAGAGGGATTTGATGCCTGTTCCTTGTAGTTCGTCGGAGGTAGTTCTAGAGCAATTTTGGGTTCTGCGTTGCTTTTTGTAGCCAGTTCTTCTCGAATTCCCACCGCGTCTGCATTATCATCTTCCTCAGTTTGTTCCTCTGTGTCTTGTAGGTGTTGAAGCATTCAGCTTGTCTAGTGACGCAGTATTTTCTCCACACTTTGTGCTTTCTGTTTATTTCTTTCTTAAGATTGCTATTTAGCCACCCAGGGCGTTTGTTCAGTCTTACGCTAGTCAGTGGGCAGTGGTTGTTGATGAGCTGCAGAAGGACATTCTTGAACAGCTCCCAGTCATCGTTGGCACTTTCCGTGAACAATGAGCCCCAGTCAAGACCGGATAAGTCTGCCCTCATCTGATTGAAGTCGCCCCGCCAAACATTACGCCTTTTGTGGTCTGGAGTATGTGAAATGGAGAATAACGAATAATCCCACATAAGCACTATGTGGTCACTTAGGCCAAGGGGCGGCATGGAGACGATCTCGTCTATGCTGTCTGGTGTTTTCGTAAAGACCAGATCCAGGCAGTTTGCCCTTTGTCCTTCACGTGTTCTCGTTGGAAACATTACATGTTGTGTGAAGCACGCATTTAATGTTTTGCTCAACAGGCGGTAATCGAATGCCGATTTTGGACCTGACGCTTGGAGGGTGTTCCAATTTGTTCCTGGTGCGTTGAAGTCGCCCATGATCATGATGTTAGGTCGACTGGAAAATTTCTCCAACTGCTCCAAGAGTTGAGTGTCGGCGATTCGGTCTGTCCTAGGTGGTCGGTAGACAGTGAGGACATCGAGACACGGGGAACCGGTAGCCTTGATGGTCAACCAGATAGCTTCCGTACTGCACGCAAACTTGATGGTGTTATCCGACACTGCCAGACAGTCATTCACGTACACAACGATACCACCACCCTGACGATGTTCCCTATCCCTCCGATAAATTTGGTATCCAGGCAAGGCTACTTCGTTATCGCTAATATTCCCGGACAGCCAGGTCTCAGTTACCGCTAAAACATCTGGAGACAGCTCAACAAGGCAAAGTTTTAGTTCGTCTAGTTTCGATATGAGGCTTTGGGCATTCGTGTACAAACACCTCAGTTTAGCACCAGCGGAATTTCCCGTTGCATTTGTTACTGCTGTGAGCATTACTCCGTTATCGCGGACGTCGTGTTCTCTAGGCTCTTCCGTTACCTGATTGGTTCCATTTACAAGCCTTGTTTCAGTCAAATCACTGGACGCTACGGGCTCACTTGTGTTGGCGCCTTGATCAGGTGGTTCAACGAAGGTGTCTGTTTTAGCTGAGTAGCTGTCTTCGTCCGTAGTATTACAGGCTGGTTCCACTGAAATGGCATATATTTCCGAACTACCTTCCCCTTGAAGATAGCCAGATTGTGTTCGCCATCCTTCAGTCTTGATTTTAACTCCAAGACAAGTTCCCGGCGTTTCAACCGTTCCGTTGGTGAATAGTCCGGTTGAAAAAAAAACCTGCTTGTGTGTGTTTCTGAGATCGGTTTTTTTAGAGAGGATAAACCTGATTTGCTCTTTGTTCTCCAGCATAATTTTGAGAGGGCGAGGTGGTTGTGCTACTGTCCTGTCTTCAATCCTTCTTCCTATCCGGAATGCTTTCAGAACCTTTATTTCCATGTCTGCCGGCAGTAAATGATTTAGCAGACCATGAAAAGAAGCAAGGTCGTCTGAGACACGGTCTTCAGGTCTGACGGCATTCGATTCTGACAAACCCTGAATAACCAGACACTGCTGGCGAGCATGGTCCTCCTTACTCTGTCTTTCCGGTGAATGCGCTGCATGTGAGCGAGGACGATTTACGGAGTCGTCGCTTGAACGTACACTTTTACTGTCTACCGTCTGTCCCGAGCAACCCATCAGGGGTGGCGGTGACTTCAGAATCCTGTCATGGCGTTTCCCTCTCCCCTCTGCCCACGGGTTTATTTCTTCGCATTCAGATACGTGCTTTGTAGTGCGCTCGGGGTGGTTGCCAGAACAAGAGGGCAACAGTAGACTGGATGACCCAGGTATATCGTCTCCAGGCAGAACAGAAATCCCATCACTTACAGCAAGAGGCTTAGTTGAGATGGCTTCCGCGACATGTAACTTTTTTGCGACATTGTTTAAGACATCGTGCGTGGGAATCGAGTCTCCCTTTATCGGCGGCTTCATTTTCATTGTCCTGCTGTTACCGGCGTCTGAGGTTTTGGCTGTTGACTTGCTACTTGTGTTTGAAGATGCCTCCAAGGAGATATTTTTGCGCGTTTTTTGCGTTTTGCTCTTCGTTTTTGGGGTTCTAACACTGGACACGTTCGAGTGGGCATATAATAATAACTCCCTTTGTTCACGTCTGTGTGCTCGCTATTCTGTTTCCAGCTTGTTTTTACAGCCTAAATGCTGGCGTTCATGCTTCACCCTTTTTAGCAGCTGTGAGTTTCCTGTTAGCTATTCATCTCGCAACTAACCGCGGATTCCGGGATGTTATGTGAGCACCTCGATGTTTAACTTGGATTTTCTGGGGAATGGCTAGTGATAAAACGCCAGCGGCTACCGAGAAGCTCCAGTTTCTCGGCTTTGACGGTTCTAAATCTGGTTTGTGTAAAGGATGGGCTATAAACAGCTTATAGCACGTGGGCAACAAAATTCAATGAGGAGAATCCACAAACCAGACATTAGATAACATGACGAGGGCAGTGTAAAAAGACAAAAGGGGGGAAAACTAGTTAGCAAGATAGAGAAGTAGATAGGAAAAATGCATAAATAATGAGGAAATAAGCTGTATGATAACAGGTATCGCAATTCAGTAGTTATGGCAGGTCCCGTCAACTAAATCTTCGTCGCATGAATAATTAATCAATTCTCCCATTCTTCCGTGGTCCTAATCTAGACTCTAATTCTTGGCAAAACTATGCCACCTCTAGTAAAATTCATCTTGAACCTAGCGCCAGTTAAACTTTAAACTCAACAATGGCCCTAACATAACTGTATTCATAATTGTGGCCGTACCTCTAACTATAACCATCGAATTAATCTCAACCCTAACCCTCGCATTAACCAAACTATATGCCATCTGGAGTTTGACTGAATACCCTGATTTGAAATCACAACAGCCAGCGCCATTGTAACTGCCCAAATAGAGCATAAGATTCCTACCTTGTTTTAATAAATAAATAAGTGACGACTCATCTTGCAGATAATTCCGGATCAAGCTCAACGCATGCATCCGATCAAAACCGCTGACCTACACACCTGATAGGTCGCACCTATGTTTGTTTTATGCTCATTCTCACGTTTATTGTTGTTACAATATTTTTGTCTTTCGTGTATTCCGGGGTTAACCATATAATCTTATGCATATGTATAGTCTTCCATCAATCCCTTTTTTGTTTAGCTACGAAGATCAACTCATTATTTATTTGCTACTGCCATCTCCCCCTCTCAAAGAGACAACTAAACTGCATGACCTTCCGGATTGTCAATGGCCAAGGTTGCTCATTAAAAACTGATAACTTTTTGAATCTGCCCGCATAAAGCAATTACGCGGTCATCCTTACACGTCAAGAGTGAACGCATGCGGCTAGGAGGTTTTCATTCGGCCAGCGGGATGTTCGACCATGGAACTCGCTACTAAGTGTGATTGTGACGGGCGACACAATTTGCATATTTAAAAGAAAACTTGCTCACGTGATTTTCGACAGGAACCGGCTTTTACTACATGACTACTCACTGCCAGCTCTGCAAAAACTCTGTCATACACAATCTTTTCGTACGGACTAACAGTGGGCAGGTGCGCTTCCTTATCATTTCGATTGTCTGTGCCTATGGAACTTAAATATGCAAATCTACTGCAAATTCGCAGTTAATTTCTCAGGAAATTAAAGAGCTACAATTTCTTAATTGTGGTATCTACTAAAAAACAGACAGGGAATGCTGGGGGACTCACTGACGAGTCAAAACCCTCGCAGCTGTGTCATGCAGCGGCAAAATATCGACGAAACACGCATATATGGGCTTTTGGATAGTATCCGTGCTGTTAGTGTGGAACCACCTTACCCTACATTATACTCTGTTATAACAAATTTTCTTATCGGAATCTACCTGTGTTATTCACACTTAGCGTTTGATTCTGATGCGACTGGGGCGGTGTGCGAAGAGTGTTGGATGCTCTGAGTGCGGAGCCTCAGACTAACTCTCAGGTCGTGAAAAAAGGGAACAGTTCCAAACAGAGGACAATGTTCCAGCCCCTACTGGTCCTTTCGAAATGGACATTACACTGGTTGCAGACAGTGAGCGTACAAGCCCTCGTCTCATTCCATCCGTTTCCTACGCCAAGATCCTACCCGCGTAAAAAAGCACCCCCACGTCTACGGTCCCAGCGCTTCGCTAGCACCTGAGATACATGAAACAGATCAGAGCTTCCGTGAATGCAAATGTGGCCTATCGACTCTACTCCCAGGTGTACCACCACACGAACATACTTGTTGTCTTTTAAGGTTCTGATCCCCCCCCCAGCGCGCGGACGTGCTTTTGACGCAGGAATAAAACCCCATCGGACTTCAAACGAGCCACAGAGATAGTCATCCTGCTCTATGACCGTCTAGACGCCCCAGAGAGTGCCACCCAGCGTTTTGCCATTCACGCCAACGCACCAGACAGTCCATAGACGATTTCGCATGGGAGGTAACGCGCCTGGCAGCCAAAGCTTACGCCAAATTGCCCGAGAGAGATCGCGACTGTCTAATCCTCCACTGATTCATTCCATATCTACATGGCCACAATTTGACTGACACTCTCCCACTGACTTATCGTCGGCCACTCAACAGCGTCGACTACATGAAATGTATCATTTTGGCGGTAAGGATTAACCACCTTATGACCTCAAACCCTACGGCCAAAGCCTCCGCCTCACAGCAAGCCGTCCTCCCTACCCGTACGCTTTCCCGACTACAGCCCAGAGGGCGCATACTGCAAGGCCTTCAGCTTGCAAGCCAGATGCTGTGGACACAACCTCCCAAGTAGATACATGTCCTTTACCTCCTGTCTAGCTAACTGGCCTCTGAGTACTAATCGACATGGATTTTTACGTGAACGATCCCGCGAAATTTGCCACTTGGCATATCATTACTTATTCACTTCTCTTCGTAACGAACAACAATCACTGCTAATTCTCAACCTTGATCTTAACTAAGCCTTCGACAAAGTGCCCGATATACGTATTTTGGTTAAATCGGAAGCTCTCGGCATCCGACTGCCTCTACTCGACTTCATCGCGTCCTATCTGCCCAACCAGTATCAGAACGTCATGGTCGATAATAGTTACTAAACGCCTCACTCAATCACGAGTGGCGTACTTCTAAGCACGGTTTTGTGTCCGCTACTATTCCTTCTTTACATCAATGATATTTCGACGTAACTCAGAAATTTGCAAGCTTTTATTTATGTCGATGACCTAGTGTGTCTGCTCATATTCTAAGGACACCGCAGATATCTCCGTTGAGAAAATCAATACCGATTTGCTATGCTTAAGCAGATGGAATTCAACATGGCAGATGAAGTTTTCATCGTCCAAGTGTAGTTTCATAACTTTTGGGCCTGCCAATCTTCCAGGACCATTAATTTTTTGATATTACCCACTCTTAGAATGTTTCCCCTAGGGGACCTAGGTTTAAGTTATACAAATAAGCTTGTTTTATCACCTCGTGCAAATAGAATCTCTGCCGAAGCCGCACATATATGTGGGCTCATATCGCATAATTTTTCCTTCCGGAAGTGAAGCTAAGACTTCACCAAATGTTTGTTCTTCCTGTCTTCGATGACTACTGTTCTTTCTTTGGTTTAATGAGCGTCCGTGACCGTAATAAAGTCTAAAATCTCCAAAGGGTTTTGACCTGGAGACTGCTCTCCAGTCGCATCCGGTACTTATACTCAGAGATGTCAGCTGTCAAACATCAAGTTTTTGTGGGTTAGAAGACTCGAAACTGGCCTTTGCTTCCTTTTTCGCATTAATTCTGAATCTAATCTTCCGCTCATTGACACTCTCACTCGGAGAGATCGGTCGTATGCCACGCGCAACTCCCCCATGCTTATTCCGCCGCCTCTTTGCGCCTTCCATCAACCTCTCTTTTTGTTAGTTCCCAAGGTCAGGTCATCATTTATTTACTGCTAACATTTATACGCGTTTATGTAGTCTGTTATAATAAACTTCCCCATCGGAATCTGCCTGTGCTATTCACACTTAACGTTCAATTCTGATGCGATGGGGGCCGTATGCGAAAGATGTTGGATGGTCCGAGTCCAGAACGTCATATGAATCCTCCGATTGTGAAGGAAAGTAAACTGTCCATAACAGATAACAATGCTCTGTCCCCTACGGATCCTTTCGAAACGGACATTTCGCCATTGCTGTTAGCCTGGAATAATCCAAGAACGCGCCCAAAAAAAACTAACTAATCACCGGACAGACTCTGCTATCCAATAGTGAACATATTTGGGCCGGCGACCCTACAAGATTTATCCTGAGGTTAGGGGCAGGCTGCTTGGCCCTGTTTTTTTACGATGGCGTCTATCTCGAAAAATTTGGCCGGAATATGGGCGCGAATGGAAGCCGCTTACTCCAAGGTTTTATTTTTTATTTAAATTCACTGTCAGATTAATAACCCAGAACAACGTTTTCCCACTCTAGTCGCCGTCTCGAAGACAAAACCTGCCGAAGCTGTTATAGAGGCATATGAATGTGGTCAGCGGATATTTGGGGAGAATTATGTAGCACTGGTTTTATTATGATCTGCTGTTAGATTCAGGAATTGTACAAGAAGAGCACTGACGAGAGGGTTGGCAAATGCTTAGTCTCATGGTTGTAGTTACTTGCCGAATGTCCTGACGTCCAGTGGCACTTCATTGGTAGACTGCAATCAAACAAAGTCAAACTTCTGTTGAGTAAATCGTTATACTTTTCTTGTTTCCACAGGCGTCCCGAACCTGTCTGTTGTGGAAACAATATCGAACTTGCACATTGCCACCCTTATAAATAAAGAATGCGCCAGGCGCTCGTCCAAGCTCCTTGATATTTTAATTCAGGTCAATACAAGTGGAGAGGAACGTAAGTAGACTTCTTAACAAAGTTTATCTTCCAAAGAAAAGGGCGGTATATCGGCATCTGGAGTTGTTGAGCTGTATAAGTCGATTTCAGAGTCCTGTGATAGGCTACGAATACGTGGCCTAATGACGATTGGGAAATATGGATATGACCCTTCTCTAGGCCCAAATCCGGACTTCATGGTTTGAATCGATCGCATCATTCATTCGTAGTCACTTGTTAATTGTCGCAACAGCCTTTGCCATGCCTTAGGTCTACCAAAGAATGAGGTCGAGTTAAGCATGGGCATGTCTACGGACTTCGAACAAGCGGTACCTTACCCCGAATTTATTGATCTCCATTCATTCAGATTGAGCTAGGGAGCCAGTTTGTTCGTGTGGGTTCCTCTATTTTCGGAAGTCGTCAATAAACGCTTTACTCACTACCTGTTCTTTCTTCTTTCCTATTCCTATTCAACTTCTGATCTTGTTTTCCACCTCAGTGATGCCCGACCAAGCCAGGCAGGTTAGGCGTACTGAGGATGGTTTGCCAATCGGCGAGGACGGAAAGCCATTGAAACCTTGTTGCGCCTGTCCGGAGACTCGTTTAGCTCGTGATAACTGTATACTGCAACACGGGGAAGAGCACTGCAAAGACCTAATTGATGCACATACAGCCTGTTTGCGTGCACTGGGTTTCAATATTTAGGCTTTCCACCAACTATTCCGGTCTCGAGTTTTTCACCATTATCTTTGCATGACGTGAAAGTAATTGTTAAAAATATTTTAATAAAGCCTCTTCTCTCCGTCGGGTTCTCTTCTTTTTTTTTTACTGCAACCCAAATTCACTATCATTTTCCGTAGCAGCATTATGGACCAAGAGAAAAAGGGAGCTACTTTCCGCGTCCTTGGTGCTATGCTGCCGAGACTTGTTGGTCGCGAAGTTTGTGTTTTGGGGAAAGTC